GTTTACCGTCTACTAACCTCTGCTACGAAAGTACCAACACTCCCACATTGACCGCGTCAATTCGATTTTAAAGCAAACATTTGCAACCAAATAGTCCAGCTCGATGAATGTCTAAACACAAGTGTCCATAGAAGCCACAGATATCTTGGAAATTATAACATATCCATTGAGTTAAACATTGTAAAATTTGTTCCCATGTGCAACTGAAAAAGACCTTATTTTCTATTAAGGTTCAGGACAAACTAGTTAGCCAAGGCAAGTTAAGTCAAGCAATGGCTTTGTGGACTCTGGATGGGTGAATATTCAGCTACCACACATATGATCTCGACAATGAAACAAAAAAGCAAATCAGGAGCAACGCAATACGACAAAGAAGGGGTAGATAAGGACAAACAACTCAATCAAGTTGAAACTCGACTGGCCAAGTCAAAGATGAGAAAGTAGGGTCTCGAAATAGACACTAGAGTTAAGGGATGACTGATAAGCGGGAAGCTTGTGTGCTGGCATAGATTACCTTGTACTTCTGCCTAGTAGATGAAGTTGATGAACATTAGATAAAGCGGTATGTAGGGGATGACTTGTATCGCTCAGTATCTTAGAGTCAAGCCTTTATGAGAAATGATGTGTGCAGAAATAAGTGTTGGTAAAGTTGATATCGAGACATCGCTACATCTGACTAACTGCTTTAATGATCTTACAATTAAATTAAAGTGTTTACCCAAAAGACCGGGAAAGATCACAGGGAACAGTACCTCCAGTGGGAAAGAACATAGGCATTGACGAAGCGAACTATCAACTCACGAGGAATGCAGGAGGCTCTGAGCCGAAACCCATAGAAGGACAGCCTTCTGACTTTTGTGAAAGTTTCATTTACTTGAAGCGTCCAAGATAAATCGTAACTCAACTGCACACCCAGATATTTTGCTGATGTGGAAGACTGTAATCCATCGCCATAAAAATGTAATGTGTTGCATATTGTAAGGAGCTCCTCGTACCTGGCTCCTTTGTGTAAGGAAACTGAATATCATTGCACTTTGAAGCATTAAGAGACAGATCACAAGCTTTAGATCAGACATTAAGATTGTTCAGAAACGTTTGTAGTCTCAATGAACAACCGGCACTTTGGTGCTTGATGACCAGAACCATATCGTCCGCATATTTTACCAGAGTCGCTTCATTTGGAGCTGGCGTTGAGCTGACGTAAGTGGCAAACAGAAAAAGCGACAGAATCGCTCTCTGAATGACACCCGCGTTGGTGAGTTGTGGGGAAGACCCCCTGCCACTGAGTCGGGTGATCTGATTGCTTTCAGCAAAATAAGCACAGTAAATAGATAACGGAGGGAGGTACTCCTTGAGTAAGTACAAGTTCTAACAGTAATTCGCGCTTTACCGAGCCAAATGCATCGCTGTAGTCAAAAGCACATCCGATTTGCTTTATTCCTATTATCAAGCGATGACAGTAAAGTATGTACGAGGTAGACCACGGTATCTAGGGTAGACCTCAAACCACAATAGGGGAACTGCAGGCGGTCCTGAGAGCGCATTCTGGCTGGCATCTTTACAAGAATAACTTTCCCTAGAACCTTCAAAGCAACACATGTGCGTGCGATAGGTCGATATTTGTTGAATCCATTTTACGGCACTGGTGTAATGTTGACACTTTTCCAGCCGTCTGCTATTTTGTGTTAGTGCGTACATATTGTATATATACTCGCAAGAGGTATTGCCAAACAATCGACACATACTTTGAGTAAGATAGGAGACAGCATATCCGGCCCACTAGCTTTACCAGAACGTAGATGTTTCAGTAGATTATTTGCAGTTACATGGTTAACAGAAGGCAATGGTTCAACAGACCCCCAGAACTTCAGCACATGAAGACTCTGGAGCAGAACTCCTGATTCAATTGCTCTACGTCTGCGTCAAAGTAGGGCGACTGTTGAGTAACTTCGCTAAGCATTTTCAGCATCCTCCAGTGTTCATGACAACTGCCGCCCTTAAGAACAGACTGAACATAGACCTAGTTAAGACGGTGTAGCTCTTCCTTGATACGACCTGTGAGAGATCTTACTCAGGTGTCGTCTTATTTAAACGCTTTCTTCATAAGTCCGCGTAGGCGTATCAGTTCGGGGGTAGGAATATCTCTCAGCGCGGATGTAAAAATTTTCTAAAGGGCAACAGATCTCAAAATAGAATTTTAAATAGCTTATCAAATGAGCACAATACCTGGATTCATCCTGGTCAAATAGCAAACCAAAATACGTCGATGCGATCATTTCGAGAACTATGTCTACATTTTGTGGCAGGCTTCAATTTGCATTATTGTGGAAACGTGGCGGAGGTAATTGCTAATTCGACGAGATCGTCTGTTCATCAGTATTCACTTTTGTCATCACTTTCGCTAATCGGTTTGCTCATACCAAACGCACTCAGAATCTTACGAGAACTGCCTTCGATTTTTCGCATTAATCAGTCATAAATGGCTTGAGTAAGTGTCTTTTTCTTGCAACTGGAATTCGCACTACAGCAGCTATTACTCACCCTCGAGGGTTGCATAATTAAAACACATACAAGTGCATGGATTATCTTGGATCTTATTACGAAACGTTGGAGCGCATACCTTAAGCCTGGTTATTTTGTCTAGTGCAATTATATACATCGCTGAGGCTTTAGCTACGGGATAGAGTGCACTGGTCAGGTTGATTGTGGTTGCCATGAAGCCGTTTTATTCCCCTAATTGTATGCAAACAGATGAAGAAAACATGCAAAGTTGCTGCATTCAGTAAATTTTGTTAAAATGTTTTTTTAATTTGTGTTTTGAAATTCGTGAAACGGAATGCCTGCAAGGAAAGGTTCTGTCGGAAAACCGAAGGTTTTCACTAACTGAAACTGAAGGCAATCAACAGTTGTAAACTTGAGTAGCTCAGCCGGAAGAAGACAAAATGCGATTGTCTACAAATTTGATCAGAAAGTGATACGCCTTTCGACTTCCACGAGCTGTCGCTTAAAAAATGGAATACTAGTTGAGGAGATATGCGGAAGGAGGAATCACTCATTCGTTTGCGGTTTAATTTTACTTTACATCAACCACAAAAGAAAGTACTGCTTGTGAATTATTGGTTGCTCTGTGCACATGCTAGCCCATTTAGCGAGCAAGCATTCAAAGTTAGAATGACCCTTGATAACAAATAGGTCTTTTTTCGTTCTTTTTAGTGAGCAGTGGTAAGTTGGTGACCTAAAAAGAGCTGTACCTAACGACGACAGAGGTGTTGTGATGATGTCGGACATGTTTATCAATATCAGTTGCAGAATTCTGCTAGATGTACTCGCTTTAAAACAATTACAAAATCGTGCTTAGAATCTACACTTACTTAAATAACTAAGCTGCTACTGATTTCTTTGTGGTGGTTAACTACCGACTGCGTCTCCATCAGATTCCTTCACAAAATCGTATTGCCTTTTGTAAATATTATGGTGCATCTGGCCATCCTCAGGACAGTGTGCTGATAGTAATGATACGCAGCGGTTGCCTCGATGATTGATTTGGTGTAACATACTACTAAATAAATAGAGGAATAAGCTTCCATTCTTGACAATGTGAGCCAAGCCTCAATCAGCATGATGGAGTAAGTATAATTGTACAGAACGCTGATGCCAGCTGGATCAGGAGAAGTTAAACATCCGATAACTTGACGTAAGTAAGAACATTAAAGGCACTATAAATGGTTGACTGAAACGAAATTATCATGGCTGGCCTTTTCCCACACTCTCACACTTTATTATTTCAGAACTAACTCGCAGATGAATGGTGGCGAAACATGTGTGGTCAAATGAAACCTAGACCGTGCTCGTATTCTTGGCTTATTGTTATAGTGCCATCAAGCCTAGTGCAAAAAATCATCCTGCCGTAATCTTTCAGTCCTTTTGTCCGATCTACCGCGTGATGGAAGCCCGTTCCAACGATATAAGTTATTAGATATAAGCTAAGATATAAGATATAAGGAATCCTTGCACTGGCGGTGCCATCGCAATTTGTCCCCAAACTCCCATGTGTGGCATACACAGACCGTCAAGGCTTTGGCTTTACCATCATCAGTGGTCATCCGAGCAGCTTGCAAGTGAACAAAAGCACCCATTTTGGCCATTTTACATCACTATGTTCCAGCTGTTCAGTCCATTTGCCTAACTATGTAAATCTATATCTGAACTGTCGATGAATCACCGAAAAAGAGCTTGCTTGCTATACCGTCATTTCATAAACAAACACACAGTTTAATCACGTCATGTACAATCATGAACTCGTGTTCGCGTTTACGCACCTATCTGGGCGGGCAACTTATACTCTATCCTTGGCTACATGTTAACGAAAAATTTCTCAGACTTTTTGTTCCCGACCCAGCATTCTGCCACTGGGTTCTTTTTATTTTGTGTCTTGTTGAGAGAGGCGTATAGCAATAACTTCATGCTAATGTTGGAAACGTGAATATGTTTGGGCAAGATGTTCTTCATACACCGTAACTAGATGGTACCAAGTTTACGCTTACCACCACGTTCAGAATAGCCCATTTTTGAAGAGGTATCCAACAAGCATTTTGTAAATGATCCCTGTACTTTTGTAGAATGCAATACGATCGCGCTTTTTCTGCTACTCTACACTACTGAAATGTGTTGCAACGTGGCTCCAGCAACTGATATATAAGAAGAAATGTTCTACTTCAACGCAGTGCTGAGCCTCTCGGAGTGTCATTTACGTCAGGAAACGCAGCACACAAGAGCAGTGCATACAAACCAGTTAGACAACATCTGTTCCCAAATCACATACCAGATTAATTGTGAGGGACGCCTAAAATGGTGACATACTTATATACTACTCGTTAATGAAAATTTTTCTAATCATAAAATCGTTCTATCCAAACATATAAGTGCTTATTACAATCGAATAGCTGCCTTCGACACAGGTTAACTGAATAATTAACGACGCATCTGTTTCGTGCACACAGTCCTTTCCGGGGTCGGTAAAAAACGTAAGTTCCTACTTTTAGTTAACTTTTGTATCAACAGACTGAATTACTTATGCCAGATGACTTGTATCGTACAGAAGTCATGAGCTTTGAATAGTTATCTAGGTGTCTATGGATAACAGGAAGCACGTTAGCACCCGTTTCGTATCCTTTGTTAATAGCTTACTTGCTAAGGAAGCAGGTATTATGTGTGGTATATTTTGGAGCAAGATGCCACACTGCGAATTTATATGATGCCAATCATCTACACGTCACTTAGTTTGCAGTAGACATTGACTTTTGCAGAATATTTTCTACTGACCAGCGTTTCGGGCCATCTTAAGCGGATGTCTGCTGTCTTACACAACGTGCTTCACAGGTTACCATCACCGGTTTCACCGCTGTAAACTTTGGGCACACCTCGCATTTGTGTGAGATGCTTTGTACATTTAAAGTCAGCACTATCTTGTGGTGGAAAAGGTACTCACATATGCGCATGCCGGTTCCTGAGCAAATTGACGCGTAAACTTAAAATACTAATTGGATTTGATCAGATATCTGAGGATGAAAAGTCGGAAAATTCAAAAGCTGTGGTTCGGCAGTCCATTGGATTTAGGCATTCGAATACACAAGCAGCATTGTGGAGAATTGGTATCTGCTCGCGTTACCGATATGTAGGGTATACTACAAAGTATATAAGATGAAGAACAATGGAGTGTGCACTGAGGAAATCGTCCTTCCTATGCCTGGTTTAGCGGGGTCGAAATAAAGAAAATTGCTATAAATCACCTTACCTCCTTAGCCCTTGGAATTTCAGAAATTGGCACATTTGCGAATCCCTGGGATGGGGTTCGGGGCCATAAATGTGGTACACTTGTGAAAAACATACCTGCGCCAAATTTTATCCAAAGAACATTAGGCATATCGCATGGAGTTTCGCTACGTGCACAGAATTGTCCTCAGTTCCTGCAACGTCTCATGTGAGTTGCGAAGTGCAAAGTAAAACTGCTGGAATTATCGTTGCTAAAGGTGGATTTCACCCACCTATTGATGACGTAAATGAAACTTGGCACAAGTATGTGGGTTTATCTTGTGCTAATGCCGTAAACTTGTTATGCGAATTAGCGTCACAAAGCAAATGTTCAGGAACATTTCCGACGCAGCAGCCAATTCGTTTCTGAACAAACTGTGTTGCAAGTTAGGGGGCAATTCTTATCATAACATCATGTAAAAGAACGAGTTTTATAAGTTAGCTTTTGATAAAGTAGATAAAATTAGTGACGGCATATCAAGATTGGGGTTAAGAAATAGAGGTGCAAGTGAACTCGAACAGATACGAGTATCTCTTAGTTCACGTGTTATATGCTGCAGGTACTTTAACCATTTTTGCACACAAGCTGGTGCTTTAGACAAGTCGAGGACCGGTTCCCTGGGCAGCAGCGACTATTCCGACATATTGTACGCATTTAAAATGCAAGCATTAGTAGCTTCCATTATTTTGCCTCGCCTATGGCTTTAGTATATTTAAAGACATTAACCAACTAACTCCAAGCAATGAACTTGCGTCAGCTGAACGCTTCTCGTAGGTTCGTCAGGACGATCTGTTTTCTCCCAAATACTGCGAACTAATGTCCCTGTGAGGTAAAAGTGTCTCGAACAGGATCCGCTTCTCCTGTGAATATGCCCTAGATCACGTTTGTTTTATCACATAAATGTAGTAGATGTAGATGCAGGATTTTAACACCACGGTTCCACCCAATGTCATTCCTATCTTCCGACCGCGAACCTTACAATATACGACTAAGATTAAAACCTTGTACTAATTCACGTGTACTTAATCTGAACAGCTGCTCCCAGGAGGACTACTCCCGGTAAGTGCCCTCTGTACGCTTGGCTTTTTAGTTGGGTTTTTTCTGGATTATACGTCGTGAGACTGTCCTACAGCCAGAATGAGCAAATCATTCCTATCATCACCAAGCTTGAAAGCAGAGCCTGTCCACCAGGTTCTTTGCAAGTCATGTACTTCTCTTATCGATTGCATGCAGCTCAACAAGGTATTTAACCCACCTTTTGATAATGTATATAGTAGAGTTAAAATTCAGTGTGCTAATATCATCCGTTTGTATACCCATGTGAATCAAACTGCAAATAACTATCGCCAAACATATATCACTGCGCGAAAACTCTGAAAAATCCTATCGCGGGTTAGGATTTGACATTTTTATTGGTTCGCCAACCCGCGTACTTTGATTGCAGACTTTGCACGGCCAACCAAGTTGGTGTCAACGCGCATTAGTTAAAAGGTTGTCAGTAGAAGCTGAGCTTCCAAAAATGTCAGGGACTAAAATCTAAGCTGCGTCGCTGTTTCTCGGACACATTTCAAGCGTTCGTCGTCACGATCGATTATATTGGTTGTCTACTTGGTTACTTGGGGACACATAAACAATCTTTGTTGGTTTGTGGTAAGCTGACTGTGACGTAGAATGTCTACATGAAATTCCGTAAGTTCAGTGGCACGAATGCTTACGAAGCGCGGTTAACTTGATAGTGCGGTTGTTGTTCAGTCGCCAGTCGGTGTCGGTTTTAAGAACGGTTCATGATCCATGAAATACCACTCTCACCCTGTCGCTGATATACAGGATCAGGGTGATTACGCAGGTTGACTGAGTCTACCAGTTACTGCTGCACTAGGTTGCCATTAAATTGCAAAACTAACCGAATTAAGCAATATATCAAATTTTGAAGCATGAAATTTATAAGCGACTTATCCATGTCTGCGGTTAGTGTGTCAGTGTCAGGCACTCCAAAACATTACTTGCAGACTGGACCACTAGCAATGTGACTCACGACCCTGACTGTGAGATAATTTTGTAATGTGGGATAATTGGGGGAGCAACGTATTAAATTCATGAATTGTGAGCGTGGTCAAACATCCTTTGTGGTTGATCACAGTTGCAGTGGAGGTCATGAGATGTGACAGGACAAGGACAGTAGGATCAAACCCTGACGCATTAATGCACCAAATAGACAAGCGCAGAAGAAAATCAGAGGAACAAACGCTTTGGTAATGGGTGACAAATTAATATAATACTAAATCCAGACCGCATTTAATTATAAAAGTAAAAAGTGGTAAAAGCTTTCTGGCTCCGGAAAAATGACTTGGAACTAGTGAAAAGCCAGTGATTGACAAATCCCGTAGGATGACCGGAGCCAATATCACAACCATAAAGCTAAATGCGAAAGGAAAAAGATATTGGTTTCAGGTGACTCAGCAAGCAGTTCAATTGAGCACAAACTCAAGTTGCCCCACCTCTAAGTTATGGGTGGGGCTAATAAAAGACAGTTTGATTCGCGTTAGTTTAACTCCTGATTATAACCGATTTTATCGCATAATGCAAATAAAGTAAAGTTTCTTCAACACCTTGCTAGAAACTCGTTAGCGTACAAACCAAACAGAGTTGAGATTGAAGAGTAATACGAAGAGACGAATTACTTTTTCGGCAACCACATTGCAAGCAGTGCATAGCGAGTTTGAGCCGGTGGCATCTCAATTTGCTTCTGTGGCCAAGCGACAACAGAACGGTGCAGGTGTGGCTGCAGGCTTGCTAGTAGTAGGTGCGCTATGATCGGATTTCTTCGAAGAGGCCGATACTAATAGCCCTAAAGTACAAGCGTTTACGGTTTGAGTCTGCAGGAAAGGTGTAACAATCCCCTAAAGATTTTGACCCCTCAGCGTCATTGAGATTTGAACCGTGCCAAATTCCTTTTTTACCCCAAGAACGCCAGGCTTGGATGGCGAGTCCCGCATGTTGCTTCATGCAGGAGCGCAGAATTTACAGAATTACGAAAGGCTGGATAGGCTAGAACTCTCTCCGGAAGTAGCCATGATGCGGACTAGTTCCTCTCGACGTATTTTTCTTTGGTTTGGAACAGCCAAGATCACCTTTCATAAATACTCTAAGATCGTTTTCTTGGGAAGTACGTAGCGAATACTTTTTCCTTGGGTACGCTAGCGGTGTATTCTCAAGGCTTTGCACTTGGTTGCGTCAACCTACAGAAGATTTTAAGATAAGCATGTATAGACATTGTTGAGGTCACTCTGCAGTGCCGTATGCTCGTGCACTGTCTTGGTGTCATGCCAGAACTTGACATCATCTGCGAATAGTTACAAGTTTGAATGAAGTACAATGGTATGATCTTTGATGAATACTACGAATATACGTGGTTTCAGTATAGATTCAGGGGTACAACACGCAAGACTACATTTGGGTCGGAAAACACTCTGCCGAATCTCACGTTCAACCGAAGTAGAAGTTGCGCATCAAATCAGGAAATCGGCATTGATTTCATAACCTCGAAACTAGTAAAAGAAGATACGAATGCTTTAGAAAAGTTAAAGCATATATCACGTTGACTCCTATGCAGTTATCGACTGATTTTCTCCAGAATACTCGGATTATCAACAAATTCGTAGTGCCGGACCGATTTCGGCGGAATCCGTGTTGCCGTGATGCTATGATCTGGTTAATCTCAAGGTTCATTAACGCAGTAAGAAGACAGAGGTTGCGATATGTTAACATTTCGATTGCTCTCGTCAGTCGCTACGCAATACAGGCAGAAAAAACACGCAATATATAGGGTCCACACTTAGTAACATAGATAAGCAGATAAAAATGACGGGAATGACGTAATCAAAACCAGGGCAATCTAATTGATTGTCTCAGTGGTTTCTGGGCACAGAGTACGGGACACTTCAATCTTATAAGTAGCGCCTCGCCAATTGCCAACAACGTCGGGTTCCAGTTGCGCAATAGCACCTTGAATGAGTCGATTAAGTTCACCTGGTGACGAGTCAGCAAGAGGTCTTTGGAGATAGACGAGGCAGGGTTCAAATTCATTCTTTGCTTCGCTCCGCCTTGGTTAGACAGCAACTGCCTTAGCCACAATGGGAAATGTTCCGCCACTCTTTCAGCTAGTCGGCGACCAGTCTTGCCTATGTAAGTGTCACCGCAACTGCAAGTGAACTGATAGATGATGTTAGAGGCTGAACTGATTGGCGCGCTGCTCGAACGGATGTGGAGAGGAATCCATCGTGTGGTGTGAATAAGTCGTAGTTGGTCGGTAGAGTAGGTGCGCATTAGAGCGGACCTGAGCTTGTGACCAACTTCATTTGCTAAGTGATCCCCCTTGAAGGGTAAGAACAGATAAACATTCTTCTTCTCCGCAGTTTGCACGGGGAGCTTCTCCTTGGGGTCTGCTATGGGTCTGAATGAATTTCTCCGGATACCCATTAGCTAGCGAAGTCCGGTATAAAAACTCTTCTTCAGCCTTGAGTAATTCCGGACTTCATATCCGCCTGGCCCTGCAGAAGAGAGTTTTTACAAGGCCGCGCTTGTATGCAACTGCGGCGAAGCTGGAAAAATGTAGATATTGCCCACCCCAGGTCGCTTTTCTGTACACCGTGTGCTGCAATGTGCCATTGGTCCTTCTCTTGATGAGCACGTCAAGAAACGGCAGTCTGTCTTCTTGTTCCTTCTCCTGTGGTACAGAAAGATTCGGGTGAATTGAGTTCAGGAGGGCAGCAAGACGATCAAAATGTTCACCATTAGTGAAGATGACAAAATCATCTACATAACTCTTATACAGCTTGGCTCCACCTATGCAGGCAGCAACTTTCCTTTCAATCATACCTAGGAAGATGTCTGCCAGAACTGGCCCCAAAGGACTGCCCATAGCGACGCCGTCAATCTGTTTGTATGCCGTCCCTTCAAACTCAAATCGCACATTCTCAGTACACACCAATATCAAGTCCCGCAGGAACTCTAGAGGAATGCCCACAGAGAGGTTCCGACTCAAAAGAAATTGGCATAGGTTGTCAACCGTTTCATGTAGGGGCACATTCGTGAACAGTGATTCCACGTCTATTGAATACATGAGCTCCGCGTCAAGTGTTGTTTGTTCCAGAATATTCACCAATTCAAAGGAGTCTTTCAAACAATGCATGCTTAGGAGCTTACACACGGGTTCTAGGAGCTTTGCCAACCACCGCGCTACTTTGTGGTAGGGTTTCCCATTAACGCATCTGCGGTAATATATTACATGAATTTGGATGATAATAAAAGGAGAATGATTGGACATTAATAAAGTGCTGCGCACGGTTGCAATTCTTGGTAATAAGATCGACTATGTTATATTGCTTCATTGTGGAAACCAGTGTTTGTTCATAGTATCGTTACAAGAATCGAGCTAACGGTTTGGCGATGTCCAGGATAGCTGTTATTGGTGCCTTCAATCTTATGTCGTCCACGCCAGGTGACCTGTGTAGCGTAAGGACAGTATTCATATCATCGCACTAGCTTAAGTGACTTAAACCTGAGAGTATGTAGGTCGTGTCAGAGGCGGGTTGGAAAACCATTCACTTGAGAAAGTGTGAATGTACACTAGTAGTCTTTAATTCCTGTCGAAATTCAAGTGACCAGCTCTGGGTAACTTCCAATAAAATAATCGTCAAGTAAATTAAATCCATTCCATTCTCCGCACTTCATAGCTAGTTTGCTGCTCTGCAAATAAAAATAACGATTATTGGATAATAGGCAGAAAGCTGAACAACATGTAATAAAACGTGCCAATCAGCTTATTTTGATGTACATTATATCCATTTTTGATCCGTTGTGTGTATCCCTAAGGGTTAAAATAACCTCCCTGAACTATACCTAATTCAATCACGTCAGAAATGAAAACAGCCAATATGTGAATGAAAGATGACTAATGGATAACCAAATAAATTTACGCATGGGCACTTCAGTAATTAAGCTGTAGCTTCTTCCGTTTTCAGTGGCACAGTTTTTAAGTTAGGGAAAAGGTGATTACTATTCCTCATTTGCCGATTCAACGTGGACACATCAGTTACAGGTGTGCGTAAGCCTTATTGCCCGCTACTTACTGGGGGGGGGGGGAAGTTTGGCGAAAATACAGCACATCGCAAATAGAAGTATTCCCAGTCTACGAAAGGTTCCGTATGAAAAAGTATACGAAAGACCCGAACTCTACACACTGTCCTACTGCTGGGTATGATTGACGTTATTATGACCCTTGGAATACTACACCTGAATCACTTCGCATACTGCGGCCAATATTTTACCTGCTGGAACCCTGTAAAACTAGAGGACACTGTTCCAAACTTAGGGGTTTATGCATGAACACGGATTCAGATCAACTTTGTATGGAAGGAGGAATCGTAAATTTATGGAATAAACTAACCGAAAGACTAATAGATGCTGAATCTGTGAACTGATGTAAAAAGGCAAACCAATGGTTAGTTCGCAAACAGACATTTTTGTGAAACGGTGCACATATAATGCAAAAATTGCATCCTGTACCCGGAAATAATGACTTTAATATGAACTTCTAACCGAACAAGGAGAAACGAGTAACTGACCAAACACTGCCGCTGACAATCCGCAATTAAATGTTTTTGATTTTTTTGTAATGATAGAGTACTACAAATATTTTCCAGTTGCTCTTAACTACAGTCTCAGTCTCAAAGCTTAATTTGTGTCATTTAAGCTACTCATATTCTTAATTCACAGACATTTCAGATATTGATGAAGAAACGGATGGTTATCCTGTGGGTAAGTCACTCGGTTGGGGTATGCTTAATCCCCATATACATGAAGAACCACAGTTTTGGTGACTTCATGTGGGGTCGGGAAAGGTGCCACATAATTCCTCTTTAAACATACACGATCATCGGCTTGCAGTGATGTAGTGGAATTAGCTGCATATATATATATATATATATATATATATATATATATATATATATAGTGTATGGGTAAGAACTATGAAAGCTTCAACATAGAAAATGAAAGCCAGTGTCTATTTTTGAAGTGGATGCATATGCTGAACACCGCAGATAAAATCCTGCGTATTGTTTTGCGAATATGGAAGGCAGTTAAGAGAATTCGGTTGAGAAACAAAGGTTTGAAAAAAGGTGCATATTATGGAGATTTCGCATTAAGTGCTGTTTCAGGCTACGTCGAAGAGGAATCCATTCCTGTTTGGTCCAAGAGAAATTCAGAATTTTATGTTTCTTGCAATTTGAGCACCTTGAACACTCATTTCGCTATCCAAGTTCATCAAATATTAACATCGTATGACAGAACTAAGTGAATGAGGAGTAGATGTTCAGCAGATTCCGAATTTTGAAGCGTTTTCAACCAAAGCTTCCTTTTCTTTTTGCTCAGAAAAGCGAAGTAAGTCAATTTCTTCGTCCTAATCGCATGCAGACTCGTCCATCGACATGGGTCTAAACAATTTTGACAAAATATCTGTTAAGTTCAGCAGTTTTGTGATATATATTAAATGCTTGTGGTTTTGTATTCGAGTAGCTGACAAGCAAGTAAATGATAACTGGTTGGCGAGTAGTGCCCAATTTGTAATACAAAGTTGGGGACATGAGTGGTGATAATAACAAAAAGCCAGGGAATCTGCTTAAATTTTATCCATTCGAAAGCATTCCTGATAAACTTAGGTAGTTCGCTGGCTGTTCAGAGGTGTATGACAAAATGAATAACCTACGATGTGAGTAGTAAAAACCAGTAGTCGGTGCTTGTGATTTTTTACCTCATGGCGATGAAGATTAGTAAGGTATCCTTGAATGGAAATTATGCAGAACGAGAACAATACCAATGTTGCTAAATACATCCATAGTAGAAAAGTATACAAGTCCATAACTTGGACGCACAGGCGTTGCCGGATTGATATGCCAACTCTACCGCATAGCTAATGTGCTAATTTGTAACGATATGTCAGAGTGAAATTTTCTCGATCTGAAAAGTGATCCGGCTGCGATAAGAACTAGATGAATGGGGCAGCAAACATCGCTGTTAAAAAATGAAACATGCTAGTTAGTTATCAATTTTGATCATGGTACCATGAGAATTAAAAGAAACTTCCTACTAAATACCATAAAGGGAAATAACAAATGAAATTTAGTCAATTAGTTACGAACAATGTACCCTTTTCTGTTGCATAGGGACCAAGCGAAAGCCGACGAATTTTGGGAATATCAATCAACGCATTATATCATTGCTTAGGATTCTATCACGTTACAGTTTCTATCTGCTTTTTACTTGCTAGTTTCGGTGCAATCTTGGCGATTGATAATGTACAGCTCAATGTACTTTGAACACTGCGAAATTTTCCCATAATGTTTTAAAAAGCTTTCTTAATATTTGCATTTAATCAAAAGTCAAATGTTCCATAGATGATGTGCGAATTAGATAATTCCTTCCATCCGTGTATATTTTGACGCAAATGTAAGCCACTATCCAGCCAGCTGCACATACGGTTCAGTCTCAATTAATTCCAAATATTCGGTATAGTGAGATCGTTCAGTGAACACCACCCGGCTACATCAAGTTTAGGAAAGAAGTCATCAGCAGTACGCCGGCACATTGTACCAACTCTTCGCTGCCGTACGAATACCACCGGTTCCGCGTGGGCTGAGTGTACCGCGAGGACTTCCGCCACTACGAAAATTCGAATCGGTGACTTAAGGAATGCAAGCCACGCGTGCAGTTGTTTCGGCCACTGGCCGACAACGCCAATGTGCAAATTAGATAGGCACAGAAATAGAGCTCATGCGTTCACCGCAAATTCCACACATTGAAATCTCTCTTCGGTTATGCAAAACAGACTTCGAGCTCATAAATGTACTGAGCATTTCATCTAGATCCACTTTTACAAGTTAGTCCCGCAGTACCTGATTAGATGTCATAGTTAGTTGGGGGCGTTTGTAAATGTTTTGTGCGCACATCGTGTTACTTAGCAAAAGTGTTAAAGAAGAATCAACTCAGATACAACAGAGGAAACCCATAAAGTGCAATTATCACGTTGTAATATCCCTCCTGTGTTTGTGTTTAACAGTGGTGAATAAAGCTGTCAAAATCAATTAAAAGCAGCCCTTGATATGAGCCAATGGGAGATCATGCCTTAAGGACAACTGTAGATGCCAACCAGCAGGTGCAGGTTTCTGCACCAGTTCGCTTTTCGTAAATAAGATGCAACATACCAAAACACTCATTAACTTGTATCCACATTTCCAGCGAATTTTCCTGTGCTTCCCTTGCATGAGTATCTCCCTTCTCTGTCAAATTTGACTGCGCAATTCGATGGGATCTTGTAGAGTTATGTGATATTTGGGTTTCATAACAGCTCACCAGCGATACTGTACGGAAGTGCCTGAACATTTTCAGATTAATTGCATTAGTTAAGCACCTATCGGATTGCATAAGTAATGACTATTCTAAACTCTAGCATCGAGTCTCTATGTACAGGAATTGCGTTTACAGACAAATCTACTTTATTTGCAAGATAAACACAGAAGTATTTATTGAATGGAATAATCTGCATTAGTGACTAACGGCACTCAAAAGTTGTTAATCGATTGATTCATTGTCCTCTCATCTGTACCTTATTGCTCTCTGCATTGAGCACCAAGTTAGTTTACTGTTGTTCTTCATCACAAACGATGCAGTTTTCGCAGGACTTGGTAAGTCCTCTTTTACCGTTTGACTATGCCCTCTAGCATACAACCAAAGCGGTGCTTTTTATATTTCGGCGAAAAGTGGAATCCATTGTAGGTTTATTCTAAAGCACATCACCAATACCTCCGCATCTCGTACTGATGTCTCGCTTCCACTGGACCACCAGTTATTGCTTTAAGGATATGCCAGGTTGTCCGGTGCTAGACATAACGGGCGAGTTGCGAATCAAAAACCAGACGCTTCAACCTCTTAGCTAGAGAGTTGACTGTTATGGCAAACGGAAAATAATGGTAACCACATTGATGAATTGCGTCAGATTGAGCGCACAAGAATGGTGCCACAATTTGTGGATACGCTGCGACAATCGCTCATCAGTGCTCACATCAGCAGAATAGGCCTAACGGCTATGTGACTCAGTCATGAAAGCAACGACGGATTCTTACAGGAAAGTGGAAAATCTAATCGAGCAAGGGTATAATACAGGCTTAAAGTTAAAGCTTGACAAATCTTGTAGGATGGGGCCTATGAGATTCATAGGTTCAAAGGCGAAAAGAAATTAGTCAGCCAGGTAACCCGTGCGTTTGTGGGCTCATCATTGTGGTCATGCTAATCCATGTGTCAAGCTTCCCAATTTTATTTCGCGGGGGCTGGAGAGCTCTGTGTTTAGCTGCTTTATGTCATCTACCCATGAGTGTGAGTCAAATCACGTAATGCATAGTGTGATGCACTGTCGAATCGTTTATAAAAGTGCGTAACGTGAGAGCAGAAGCGACACAAGCCGGAAAAGCCTTCAACGACTGAAAGATCCGGCGAGAGGAAGATTTACAGTGGCATTCAAGAAGGTTGTAGTTGGTTAGCAATGTCAACCTGAAGCCCTACAGTTTATCTTGCGGCCAAGTTTTAAGGGGTTGTGTTGAATGTGACCAGGGTCTATCAAAATCTGATACATCAGGATGGGTTCACTCCATAAAGGAGGATATTTTCCAACGAGTGATTTCAGTCGCGGTTGCTTTGGCAGAGGGAGCAGAAGCTTAACATTGTTGGTTGCCATACGTTTTCGCGTCCCCAGTGTAGCCAGTTTGAGCAGTAGCCCGCGTTGCCAAGTCTGAATCGCGTACTACCTACGTGGCTTTCATTACATTTTGAGCACTTGTGGAAATGTGGAAGGGTATAAAATGCCAACCCACTCCTTTAGAAACAGCATGTAAACTCCCAGGAAAACATGGGTGGGTTGATTTCTTTTTGGTTTGCTGCTATTTGTATGGGTCGTTTGGATTCGTGACTTGGTTTAGTACGGCTAGTGCACCGCCGACACGAGCTTTGAACACGGCTAACATGGGGACTGAAACAATAGCTTCCCAGAAGGAATTCCATTGTGGCAAACAAGCAGCGAGAAGTTTCTTTGACACTCCAACCGGCTTCATTGTTCAGCCAACTTGAGGTGGTGAACTCTCAGTCTTTTGTTGCTGCTCAACTGCAAAAGATGATGGCAGGAGTGATTAGGTTTGTTTGGAATTTGGGTAACCATGATTAGGTCATTATGCAAACGCCGATAGCATCAGCTGGAAATGCCTAGCACTCTGAGGTGCTGTTCGTATGACAAGTACCTTAGCCCCTTGCCATTTTTGATGGCCTGAAGTTGTGGAATCTCCAAGGCAGATATATTTGCCTCATCCATGGATGACATGAAGGGGAATGTAAGTGTGAAGCGGTTGGCTGAAGACAGATGGTTCGAAATGCCCGATAGCTGTCGGTAGAAGCCCGTCGATTTGTATCCCCTTCTTCGACGCTTTTTCGGACCGTTATGAGCAGCCAAAATCTTCTCGGACCAGTACACCGAGATCCTTAACGTGAGAACAATGCTGTGGCTCCTGGTCCCTAATGTATGAGTGTGAAAATTCGGTGTTGTACATGGAGCAATGGACACTTAGCTGCACTGAACAAAATGGGATTTTTGGCCGGCAAACCACAGGCAATGCAATGGAGATGGGATAAAGCATCGTCCAATACATTTTAAACTGTTGCCGGATTGGGAGCGGCGATAACATAATTAGGTGGGTGTTCCAAGGCTGGTACAGGCGGAGGGAAAAGAAATTGTTATGGCATTCAAGCCGGCTCTATTGTATTTTCAGTTTCAGAAGAT